GTTAGAAGAAATCTGGAACGATGCTTACGAGAACGAAGCGATCTATAAGGACAAGACAAAAGCTTTTCACGACAAAATGATCTCGCGAAAGGTATTCACTACCGGTCAAAAGGTACTCTTATATCATTCTCGTTTCAAACTTATTTCCAGTAAATTGAGGTCTCGTGGGTGAGACCTTTTGTTGTTACTAACGTGTTTGATCATGGTGCCATAGAAATTAAGAGTGAACAATCATGAAAGATTTTTAAGGTAAATGGTCATCATCTCAAACCATTTTACGAAGGGTTTCAAGTTACAAATGAAGAAGTGGAGGTAGGCGAGGTCCCAACTTACCGCAATTAAGGAAACCAAGTAACAATGTCGAGCTAATGACAGCAAAAACGGGCAGCTTACCGGGAGGCAACCCGGGCGTTTGTTTTGGTTTTCGTTTTTGCAACTTCTTTTCATTTTTGTGTGTTGTTAGTTACTTAGGTCATCTCTTTTTAACTAAATCGTGTTTTTAATACAAAAAGGAACAGAGAGAATTTGAAAAATGTTGAAAAAAATCAGTTTTGGTGGTCCTTGTGATCGCAGGTTATGCATTTTGGGGTTGCAGCAAGTCGTCGAGGTTTTTGGAATGATTTTTGACGAAAAAAGACAACCTGTGATCGTAGGTTCTATACTTGCGATCATATGTATTTTTTTAGCACCCTTCCATTTTCTTGAACTTTTAAAGATCAAATCCAGTATTTTTCATAAAACCTGCGATCGCAGGTTCAATACATGCTATCTCATGTATCACTTTTCTTGTATCTAGACGTTACCTGCTTCCCAAAACACTTGGACAGTTTTAAATTTAAAAACCTACAATCACAGGTCCTCCCTATGCGGTCGCAGGTTGTTCTTTTCCTATATATACGGGTCGTAGGCCTCATTTGTATCCATCACAACTCTAAAATTCTCTCTGGATTCCATCTATTTCCGAGTTCTTTCACAAAAAAAATCACTCATTTTTCATCCAAATCAAGCAAACAAGGTATCAATCTCTTCTGTTTTACTTTTACAACATCTCTACGGTAACGAAATCATGTTTTAACGGTTCAAAATCTCCGAAAATCTCTTTTGACTTCATTTTGAAATTTTAATTTTTGTGAGTTTCTTTTTCAAATCTAAGTTCTGTTATCACTCCACAGGCCACGAAAAGTTAAAACGTTTCTCGGGATGCAATTCAAACGAGGTTCATCCAAACGGAATTTCAAAAATTAAAAAAAAAAAAAAAATCAGATGCGAAAAAATATATTGATGCTAAGTGCACAGTCAAGTATATTTGTTCTGAAACTGAACTCTTTTTTTGTCGTATATTTGTGCAGGCTTCCGTATCCGCTATGGGAATAGTTAGAAATTTTTATTTTTTTCTTGATAATTAATTATCTTGAAATTGTGCCAAATTTGTCCCACTGTTTGACCTGAAAAATGCCTTCTAGACCTTCCCGTTCACGTCGAAATGTTGACACTCCGGACCCGTCATACACCATCCAAGTGGACAATGTGACCTTGGATTTAGGCTCCCAGGCTGCCTTAGATTGTTTTCAGCAGCTTCAGGAATGAGAAATTCTTCCGCAGGTCTGGTCCCCCAACCGGACATTAATTCGGGAACTCCATATTTACGATGGTGTTCATGCTCTTTTTGCCAATATTGGTTGGGAGCATCTTTTAGGTGCAAATTTTGGTACTTGTCCTTTATTGACCCGAGAGTTCCTAGCTACACTGAGTGAGGTCAACCATGAGGGAAACTTTGCTTTTCTCATTTTAGCACCCCTCACTCTATTCACGTGGACCATCTATGTACTTTTTTTCATACCCCCATCACCAACTTATCTCAGCCTGCCCCTGCTTTCAACGTGCGCGATTTTTGGCGCTCCATTACCAGATTGGACTTTTACGATTCATCCCAATCCGTTCAGACTAGCATTGTCCATGCAGTCCTAAAAATCGCTTTAAAAATTATTTGCAATATTATTTACGCGCAGTTTGAGACTACCAAAGCCGGCAAAGCTGAGCTTTTAATCTTATGGTGCATGGTCACCGGATCGTACTGCCCTCATTTTGGTGATTTAATCATCAAAAGATTCCACAGAGTTTTAAACTTTCGCACTGGTGGTGCCATTCGTTGTGGTGGTCTGGTCACCGTCATTGCTCGTACCCTCATAGAGCAATCTCCCCCAGAGTACACCTTCTTTACGGGTGAATCCTTTCGTTTGACCCTGCAGAACCTTCGGGCAATGCACATGTTACGTTCCTCCCTGGGGGTATGTTTGGATGCAGGGCCAATCCACTTATTTCAAGGTCACTAGTTCTAATGACATCGCCCTCGCTGACCCTATTAGCGAGACTGTGTGGTTTCTTCCGTCAAACATTCCACCACCTCTTCGTCCATGTAGGTCACAACATGCCTCGCATCCACATTCTGATCGACCATCTTCGTCCACTATGCACTCAGATTACACGGGCACCACACCTATTTCCTATAGACACCCTGACCCCATCCAGACTGACTTTCAGGATCAGCCTCAGCCCACCCACCCTGACCTCAACTCTCGCGTTACTTACCAGCACTATCTTGACCTCCGTCAGGATTTTGCTGCTCTTCAACAGACTATGATTGGTCTACCCCTCGATTATCAGCTTTATAACACTTAGGTTTCTGGGTATCGTGATGAGGTCTTAGTTTATCGCGAGAACTTTACCGATTTCTGCGACAAGTTCTTTCGTCGCTTTCCATCCTCGCCAGAGTAGTCGTCTTCCACTCCTCCCTAAGCATTGAGGACAATGCTTGATTTTAAGCTTGGGGAGGGGATTTACTATCCTTTTGTAAAAAGTTTTTATTTGTCATTTTCCAAAAATAATAATAATAAATATAAATTAAATTAAATTAAAAATTAAAAATCCAAAAAAGATTTTTCATTTATGTCCTTAATTTTTATTTTATTTTCTTCCTAGTTCTCTCTCTCTCTCCCTCCCTCTCTCTCTCCCTCTCTCTCTCTCTCTCTCTCTCTCTCTCTCTCTCTATATATATATATATATATATATATATATATATATATATATATATATGAGATGATTACATCATTTACATATGATAGCTCCATGAAGTGGGATATTGAGAATTAAAAATGAAAAAAATCTGAAGCAACCTGATTGTTATTGGAAGTGTAGAATCAATTGTCATAACTACGGAACCCAAGACACCGTGATTTGAGACCCTAGCCTTAGATAATTAAAAAAAATAGCGTACTAAAACGTTTTGTGGGCAGTAATAACAGCTTTAGGATGATTTGCCTCTAAACTTTTAAAAATAATCTTTATCGGCAACTCTGAACCCACAGAACATGGCCCTCTTGCGGTAACAAAGAGCTTAAGTATCAGATCCACACATTCAAGAAAGAAGAAAGGGTACAACGTTATATTCAGTGCCTAAATCGAGAATTTCAAGTGCTTAATTGAAGAAATTTCAAGAAATTCCAAAAAGATTATATATATATATATATATATATATATATATATATATATATATATATATATATATATATAAAGAGGTTGAAGAATTCAAGCTCCAAACGAAGTACAAATCAAAGTTCAATCAAGTTAGAAATCGTTTCAAAGTTACATTTAGCGAATAAAGAACTGTGTGATATGATACTTGTAGCTCTCGAAAAAGTAAAAGCATAGAGCTCGGGCTCCTACGGGGGTTGGCCCTTGCTGCTTCGGAGAAAGTTGATTTGGTCATGTGAGTTCTTAAGGATGCGTCGATTCTGATTCTTGACCATCTACTCTTAAGGACATGAGATCCGTACTGTGTTATTTTCGCTCATCAAGAATTAGTTCAGGCCTTACCCAAAGAGGTGTAAACTTTAGGGCGTGTCCCTGACGATCCGACCCTACTTACCTGTACTACATGTTAGTGCAATAGAGAAGTTTAATTCATATTTTTATTTGTTAAATCATGCACAACAGCAGTTTTAACAACTATCTCATTGGTTTAGCTCATCCTAAATAATCATGGATCATTAGCCCACACTATAAGAATCATTGATTTACATAATCAATCCCCATATATTTAATTAGTCTCTTTTGATCACAAAATTAGTTCCAAAATAATTCTTCATCAATACTAATTAAATAATTTGATTTCATATTAATATATTATACTTGTAATATATTAATAAATCATAAATAACCTTATTCTCAAAATTCCATCATATCAAATTGCACTGGTGAACACAACCCAAAAGGACTATGTTACAATCGGGTCAAGTACATCCCAATTATAGTGATGAGCTTAGACACCAAATCCAATAGTATGGAAGGGAACTAATGACCAAGACTACATTTTTATACTTCTAAATACTCCAAAATGTCTTAAAGGACAGCTTATATGACTTAGAGTAACCCATACTCATAATACCAAGCTTTATGGGACCAAAATGAACACAAATTCATGGTTAAACAAGATCTAAATATAACTTCATCAAGTTCGAAGCTTTTTACCTCCAAAAGATGTCAAATAATGATGCGATTATGGATCTAGGGTGCTCCACACTTTTAAGATGGTCTCTTCTTGTTTATCCCTTTTCAAGATCACTAAAACACACTTTAAAGACTCAAGAATGATCAAAAATGGATTGGGGTTTACTTGGGGACGAAGGTGGTTTAAAGGATGATGAAAGAAAGAGACTTGGGAGTTAATGATGAATATATATATATATATATATATATATATATATATATATATATAGGGTCCAAACCCTAATTTTTAGGGTTTTGCGTCCAGACCGAGAACGTTATGCGTCTGAGATGGACGCTATGCATTCCTCTAAATATGCGTTTCTCCAAAATGCTACAACGGACCCATTTACAAATAATTTCACACTTAAGGGTCAAAAGGTGAATTCCTCTTAATCAAGATGTTACACACAAAGATTAATAATTTAAAGACAAGCACCAATGATTTAAAGGAGGTTATGGCAGCTTTGCAGACCAAGCAAGCAGCGATGGAAGAGAGATTGCAAACCCTAACCCAAAACCCATCCAACAGACGAGAAGAAGATGATGAAAGCATGGACAAGATGTTCAAGTCTGATAGATTTGATAACCCGTCAGAACAGGTGCGTGGAAGAGGATGTGGCACCACCTTTGGTGCCAATCTAAACGGTAAGTTTTCATATGAAGGAGGCTTGGCTGCAAGAGGTAAGGGTTTGATCCAAGAAGGAGCAGGAAGAGGATCAAGCAAGCCTTTTGAATCATGGCAGACAGGTGAACCCAGCCTTTCAAACACTAATGGGACTCCCTCAAAAGAGAAGGGACAAAAAGAAGGCATCAGGGGTCACCAAAAGAATGGGAAGAGATGGAAGATACGGGTTACCATGGGTGAAGAGTATCAAGATTCGTCAAGATGGAGTTTCCCACATAAAATGAGAAGGGTAATCCATTTGAATGGCTTCAAAGATGTGAAGACTTCTTCGAAGAACAACAAACCCCCACTGAAGCTAGGGTTAGGTAGGCCACCTTTTCGCTACAAGTTCAAGATAGTGGGTGGTACCATAAGTTGCAAAGAATAAAGACCCACATGAATTGGTTCGAGTTCCAGAAGAGTGCAAAATCAAATTTAGACTCCCGATGAGCATGAACCCATTAGGCGAGTTAACTCAACTAAGGAAAACATGTACGGTGGATGACTATTATCCAGGCTTTGAGTAGTTGCTGGGGTGAACGAAGGGTGTGACTTTGGAGTAAAGTGTTTGGCATTTTTGTGTAGGTTTGACTAATGTTCTCTGTTACGAAGTAGCATTTTCTAGACCTACCATACTATATTATGGGGTAAATTACACCAATCGTCCCTCGTGCACATGCCAAAAAGCATGTTTAGTTCTTATTTTCAAAAATTAACTCGGACCGTCCCTAGTTGTTATTATTCTTGCATAGTTAGTCCCTATAGATGTTAACCATTAAATGCTTCCATTTAAGTTCTCGGCGTGCCTTGCACGCAGGGGGATTTCGTCTTTTTAGCGTTGGTATATATGAAACATTATGGTGCGACTTTTGGAACCGATCATTTCTCATTTCATCCTCCTTCGACCTTTTGCATTGCACAAGAAAACCCTAGTTTTCTATGATGGTGTATTGGATGATTAGGCAAGAATGGGAGGAATACGATCTCTAAAGCTCATACGGTAAAATATTCTACAATACCCAGTTGGTCATCCATTATACATTCCTAAAAGGTAA